ACAATCTCATGTTAGATGGATTATATAATCCCAGGTTAGATGACCTTTGAAGTACCTTGAAGAGTTGTTGGATGGATAATCATTACCAGACATCCCCTCCCTCGCCTGTAGTCCCATGTTTTAGAGTGTCTTTGAGAACAAGGTTTACAGTATGATATAAAGGGTCCACTTTCCTGTTGATGTCTTCTAAGTGGTTCATTAGCTCACAAAAATGAGGGGTGTCTTCAGGCTTTGGAGCTGCAGGGTCTTCACAGAAACCTGTAGGTGGTGGACTAGGCTCTCCAACGGTGGAGACTTGGTTTGTGCTCTGAGGTCTCTAGGATTGTGTGGGGTGCATTGATTTGATCTCTATCTGATGGCCGTGTCTGGTAGAGGTTGGCTGTATCTCTGGTTTTCCCCAGGTAGGAGTGGCCAGAGGTGTGGTGACTGGTCATTCTCTCCGGCCATGGAGTTGGGTGGAGCTACCTACAATAAACTTCTCCCTGGTGAGGGACGGGAACTGGCCCCCTGGTGGGTGCTGCTGGCCTCTGTAGCCCCAGCTCATAACTTAGCGTCCCTGCTGGCTTATAGCAGGCAGGTGCTCCTGATGGGCCAGCAGCTGGCATCAGGTGGTGAGTGGTGGGCAGCAGGTTGCACTCCTCCTGTGCTGGCAGGTGGTGGGTGGCAAGCAGCAAGGCAGCGGAGGGAAGGCAGGTCTTTTTACTGTGTCCTTCTCTGCCTTCTTCCTCCTCTCCCCCAGAGGCGGCATGGTGGGGGGGGGGGGCATGCACAGAGTCAGCCCCAGAAGCAGAAGCGGCTGCCAGCCAACAGACCCAGGTGGAACAACAATCAGCTGCCCAAGAGCACTCAGCTCATGGGTGTATGAATCTAACTCAGTATTTCTTAACCAAAATTTGGAGGGAATCATTTCTGAAACTGAAATGATAGCCATCAAGTAAGATCAGCATTTGCAAGGCTTGTTAAACAAGGCAGTCTGGTTTCCCTTTTTTTAATAGAGTACAGCTAAAGCATTTGCTCCATGTTATTGCTAACATGGAAATGTCTAAAACAGCCACTAGATGGAAAGTACACAAATTTTCACAACCCCACATTCAGTTAAGAGTACTCATGTCCTGCCTGGTATCTGTATCATTCATTTGATTCGTTTTTTTCATTTCATTTCATCTATTCGGATGGCACGGAATGAGAAAGCGTCTCCTGGAATGAAAATAAACTCAATACAAAAGGCAGGCAGGAGCAGATACTGACTCCAAGCCTGCTTTCCAGATTGATTGCCATGCCAGGGCCTGCAGGCAAGTGCCGAGTAAGGAGCACTGCTTACTTGGCACTTGGGTGCACGCCCTTGCAGGTCCGGGTACTTTGAGCCTACGTGCCCAGGCCTGCCAGGGCCTGCAGCCGAGCACCAAGTAAGGAGCGCTGCTTACTCAGTGCTCAGGTGCAGGGCCTTGCAGGTCCAAGTGCTTTGCGCCTTTGCTTTGGGTTGTGGAGCAAGACCACAGGCAGCAAACACAATGGGTCTTCAGCCCCAGCCAGGGAGCCCTTTGACTCCTCGGATGAAGGTGAGGCAAACCTCATCCAAAAGTGTGTGCTGGGAAGGGGAGACTGGGTGGGAACCCCCCTCCCCCCAATAATGGGCTGAAAGAAAATCAATATTTTGACACCTGAAAACCAAAAACAATTATCTGCCCTCCCAATTTCAGGAGGCTCAGTAGGAACAGATTGAGGACCCCACCAAAAGCCGGGACACAAAACGAATCAACGTTTATGCCAAATGCACACAACTAGTTAAGAGACCCCAAGTGAGGTTGCAACCATAGTAGATGCTATGGTCTAGCCCACATTTTACTAGCTTCATTATGAGACCTTTCTGAAAGGCCTTCCTGAAATTGAGATATGCTACACCCATTCCATTCCCTTCATCTTGTAACTCTCCATCTGTGGGTTCCAGAAATGCTGATATGTGCATACAATGCATCTTCAAACTCCATTGGTAATTGCAATGATACGACTTCCAATATATTGGAATTCTCATAGACTCAAAAATGTCTCACACTTCCCTCAGTACAATTTCATAGAAATCCTAATACATGAGGCTTAAAAATGTCGGGACATTTAAGATGTCCTAGTCATCACTGAGAACTTGAACAATCACACAGTTTCCCTAAATAACTTATTCACCTCTTTTTGTTCTTCAACGGAGGAGATGAAACTGAATACAAAGCATCTTAAGATCTGGGGTTGGGTATGATATGGTAGGAGAAGTGTATGATTTTCAAACAGAAAAAAAACCCAAAATAAGCCATTGGACATCCTTTGATTTTTATTTAAGTCAATAAAAATTCATCCCTTTGACCTCTATTGCTGTTTTTAAGGAATGCTCTTATCCTTTTGTAGGGCAGGAAGTTGAAAGGTGCTTCCAGGAAACTTTGAAGTTCTTGAACAAAATTGAAGCAACGTATTGTAGAAGGGGAGGGCAGAATTTCTTCAAAAACAATTGGCTCTTGGTTTAGATCAGAAGTATTTTGAAAGATTCACTGACAGCTGGATTTGTGCTTTTCAGGTTCCTGTGACTAGTATTCCTGAGGCTGTTTTAGTGTGGCAGATAACTGTTTGTTCCACAGTGTTGCACTTGAGCCCTGAACCACCTTTTCCACCAAACACCACACTATGTCCAAATAGTTTATTACAAGATGAATATGTAAAGAAATCAGTCATTTTATAAACAAAGCATCAAAGTTCAAAAAGCCATTCCAAAAGAATATCAGAAACCCAAAATCCATTTAAAACACAGTCTTCATAATTAATCCATAAACATGATAGCAGGAATCCAAGGCAGGCAGCCTAATCCACACTGGATCTAGAAACAGGAACAAACTTGAAAGCTTGGATACATGAAACAAAACCTAAGAACAGGAACTGAGAGCTGTTTTCCCCTTGAATTCAACATTATTATTATTATTATTATTATTATTATTATTATTATTATTATTTACTGTATTTATATACCGTATTTTTCACCCCGGAGAGACTCAAGGTGGTTTACAACATACTAATGGCAAAAATTCAATGCCAACATACAGTGCACAAAGATATCATAATAACTAATCTATATATATAAAAATGCTCTGTGCGTAATGAGTACCTTAAAAACAAAAGAACCAATGAATGAAATCACACCAAATTTGGCAACAAAATGTCTCACAACACAAGGAGTGACCATCACTCAAAAATTATGATTTTATCATTTGGGAGTTGTAGTTGCTTGGATTTATAGTTCACCCACAATCAGAGAGCATTCTGAACTCCATCAACGATGGAATTGAACCAAACTTGGCACACAGAACTCCCATGACCAACAGAAAATACTGGAAGGGTTTGGTGGGCATTGGATATTTAGACACTGTGGACTCAAACAATGATGGATCTGGACCAAACTTGGCACAAGCACTCAATATACCCAAATATGCACACAGATGGAGTTTGGGGAAAATAGATCTTGACATTTGGGAGTAGTAGCTGCTGAGATTTATAGTTCACCTACAATCAAAGAGCATTCTGAACCCCACCAATGACAGAATCGGGGCAAACTTCCCACACAGAACCCCCATGACCAACAGAAAATACTTAAGGCCATCCAATCCAACTCCCTTCATCAGGGCAAAAAAAAAAAACGTAATCAAATCCTTCTGACAAAGAGCCATCCAGCCATAGATGTTCCATGTTCCAGGGTGGGCAAACCAGACACTCCCCACATCAACACTGACAAAGAAACAGCAAGAAATACTGTTTACCCAGAAGCATAAAGAAATAAAAACCAACACTTTCTCATTACTTTATTTTTCAGATCAACAGACTGGGCCACAGCAAAGCGTGGCAGGGGACAGCTAGTTACTACATATAACTATGGACTTAAAATCAATTAAGACCATTAAACATAAGACATACATAAAATTTAAACATTCAGACAAAGCATAAAGTCATCCTTGTATAAACATTAAAATCCCATGATCCAGAAATCATATACCATAGCCATTCCGAATTGTCATTGCACATGTTCCTTAATTATTCTTTGTACTGCATTATTTATTAGACAAAGGCTTGATCTCATGACCACATCTTTGTTCTCTTTCTAAAGGTCAGTAGGAGAGCTCTGATCTAATCTCACTTGGGAGGGAATTCCAGAGCTGAGGAGCCACCACTGAGAAGGCCCTGTCTCTCATCCTTGCCAACCGCACTTGCAACAGAGGCAGGACAGAGAGCCGGGCCTCCCCAGATGATCATAACCTCTGTTGCTCTCAGAAAAGATTGTACCAGAAGAAACTACTTTAAAGCCTCAATTCCTCCCATGACATCACTTTGCACACATCTGCTTTTTTTCCCCCTTATCTCCAAGCCACTAAGAAAACCTAGTCTGTCTTTGTTTAACATTTTGCCTTTGGAGTTCAAGGTGACTTGATCTGGAAAAACATTAACCTCCCACATCCCTTTCGGACTGCACCTCCGTCAGATTCTCATGAGAACTGATATCGCTTTCTCCACCATGAGAATCCAAAACACCTCCCTCCAAGCCACTTCCATCCTCCCTTGGCCTCCCAGTCTCCATCCCAGCATCCCCTTCCTCATCCTCTGAGCACTCAGACTGTGACCAGACTACAACACTCAGGCCCCGTCTACACTGCCATTTACTGCAGGTTGAAACTAGACTCACGTAATGCAGGTCAGTGCAGAAACATGATTATGCCATCGTCGTAGTACTTGTTTACTTTAAATATCTGTCTTCTTAAGTTGGAGTTTTAAGCAATGTGTTAGAAACATAAGAGACAGAGTACATATGAGTGCCAAACCTTGTTTTGGAGTGCAGGGGCACACAGCAACAACAATTTCTTTTTAGAAGCTCCATAGGTTTGTTGCAGGCATGCTAATGATCTCTCCGGGTCTCTTTTCAAATGTGTGTATTTGTGATTACATGTATTTCTCTTTTTGTTTTAATTATGTCACAGGATACAGAAATCCTCAACACTGCAATCCTCACAGGGAAGACAGTAGCTGTTCCCATCAAGGTGGTTTCAATTGAAGAAAACGGTGCTGTGACTGATATCTCAGAATCAGTGGAATGCAAATCTTCTGCTGAGGATGTCATCAAAGTAAGTGACAGGAGGGTCACCAGCCATTAGGAAATTTGCACTGTGTGTCTCCTGGAAACTGAAGTTGCTCCTTGAGCTACCCACAGGTCAGGGTTTAGTTGGGAAGCTGTGACACTCCGGATATGGATGAACTACTATAGTAAGTCCTCCCCTGTGAAAGAAGAAAAAATGCAGATAAAAATGCTTCTTTTTACCAAAAAAAAACCTTTCTAGGAATGTCTAGGTTGTCCAGAGAAGTTGGAAATTGAACAGTGAAAGGAAAGGGGTTGGGGAGATATTTTAAAAGAAGGGAATTATAAATAAGACAGAAAAACGCAACAAAACATAGCACTGATGGTGCCGAGGAGTAGTGGTCCAAGAGGAATGGTGCCAGTCTCCAACCAAAAGTTGCTCTCAAAGCAATTCATAGATAAAAGTCAAATGTGAGTTAGTAGAGATCAAAGATGGGTTTTTTAATGCCTAAATAAAACCTTACACTCAATATGATGCATGATTTGAGGAGTATATCTTGAGAACCTGGAACCGTTCCATTTCCCCCAAAGAAACCTGTCTTTTGTCATCCAGGACATAAATTTAGCTATTCTGGGAATTTCTTTTTTTATTTATTTGAAACATTTATATCCCGCCCGTCTCATCCCGAGGGGACTCAGGGTGGAGCGCAACATGTATACGGCAAACGTTCAATGCCGAAACATACAATACCTACCCTAAACCCGATCGAGGTTTAGGGTGGCAACCTGTGCTCGATGGGGTTACACTCCCGCTGAAGACACAGGTCCGCAGTCTGGGGTCCTCCTGGACTCAGCACTGACACTTGATGCTTAGGTGTCTGGGGTGGCTTGTGAGGGCCTTCGCACAGTTAAAACTTGTACGCTAGCCGTGACTGTACTTCAAGAAGTCTGACTTGGCCATGGTGGTCCACACCTTAGTTACCTCAAGTTTGGATTACTGTAATGCACTGTACATGGGGTTGCCCTTGAAGACAGCCTGGAAACTTCAGTTGGTGCAAAGATCGGTGGCCAGATTGTTAACTGGAGCAAGTTACAACAAGTGGTCAACCCCCCTGTTTAAACAGCTCCACTGGCTGCCGATAAGTTTCCGGTCCCAATTCAAGATGCAGGTTATCACCTATAAAGCTCTGAATGGTTGGGGACCTGCCTATCTTCGTGACCGCATCTTCCCTTATGAATCCACACGAGAGAAAGGGCCTTCTCAATTGTTGCCTCTCGGGTCTGGAACTCCCAGCCTAAGGAGATTAGGCTAGCATCCTCCCTATCCATGTTTTGTAGAGATCTAAAAATGTGTATGTTCCATTGTGCGTTTGATTAGACAATTCCCTGGACAGCTGGCCCAGCAAGGTCCCAAATCTTGCACTTTACTACCGTAGTATCTAAAGTTAAAATGATCCTTCTAAATTGCTCTTATCCTTATTGCTTCTATAAGACCTGTGCACTTTATTCACTAGTCCTACATCCTAAATTGTTGTACACCAACCCGCCCACAATGAGACTTGAATTATATTAGCTTGTTGTAGTTTTTTCAGGCTGTATGGCCATGTTCTAGAAACATTCTCTCCTGATGTTTCACCTGCATCTATGGCAGGCATCCTCAGAGTCCCTTCGGGGAGATGGAGTATAAAACTAAAGTTATGATTATATCATTACAATAAACTATAAACATACATAAACATTAAAACTAGTTATCTCCACTTTTAAAATCAATTGTTTAAGCCATCTCAAATCAGTGGAGTAAAAACCTTATTGTACTGTCCCAAAGGCTTGATCCCATAGCCAAGGTTTTACCATCAAAATGAACACAAACAGCTTCTTGTAGTAGAATGCTACAAGAAAAGAAAGGAAAATGCTTCTTCTCACCACTGGGAGGCTTTTTTCAGGCAGCATCAAGAGCTGCAAGGGTGGAGGCAAAGTTAAGGGCATCCCACCAGTGCTATCTAGAAGTCAGACCTCTGTGTTATTTCCAACAAACATATTACACATTCCCAAAAGTCATCAAGAATGTTGGAGAAAGCAGAAAACATGGCAAGCAGATATGCCAGCAGGTTCTCAGAAGTTGAGAGGTTGTTTGCAGCAGGGAGAGCTGCAGTGGTTACTTCATGAAGTGGCTTTCAACAAAACCAAGCATAGCATATAAAGCTTTTATTTGATTGATGAATTGGTAATACCTACACCCTCCCCTCAGTGATGTACACTAAGTAAAGGTAAAAGTTTTCCCCTGACATTAAGTCCAGTCGTGTCTGACTCTGGTGCTCATCTCCATTTTAAGCCGAAGAGCCAGCATTGTCCATAGACACCTCCAAGGTCATGTGGCTGGCATGACTGCATGGAGCGCTGTTACCTTCCCGCCAGAGTGGTACCTATTGGTTTACTCACATTTGCATGTTTTCAAACTGCTAGGTTGGCAAAAGCTGATGATGACAGCAGGAGCTCACCCTGCTCCCTGGATTTGAACCTTCAATCTTTCGGTCAACAAGTTCAGCAGCTTAGCAGTTTAATCTACTGCACCATTGCTACACACTTTAATATGTAACTGATTGTCCTGTTTAATCTGCCTGCTCTTCCCCCTCCCCTCAGATTCTGCTTCTGACAGCACCATGGCTCCTTTGCGCCTGGATTTACACTCATCTTCGTAAACTATAAATGCGTTAGACCTTCAAATGATGGTTCTAACCTTTAAAAAGTGGACCAAAATATATTTACTGCAGCACTAAAGCATGACTAACGTCCAAATCCTGCTTGCTAAGCTCCACTCCGCCAAGGGGAGCTCTACACATCTATTAATAATAGTTGACCCATCCTGACTACAGGGCTGTCTTCACTTCTTACCTGATGGCTTTTTGCATAGCTGTCCAAGTGGCTGTGCTGCTGGAAATCTTAGAATTTTACCTCCTGAGGCCCTAAAAGCATGTTCTGGTATTGCAAAGCCAACCTTGTCGAGAACCAAAATATCCCAGAATAGCCACTCTTCATGTCACAAGCTGTTTGGTGAAAGCACTTTCACAAACCTGAAGGCATTTCGTCCTACTGCACCAGCTTGACTTTAACTTAAAAATGCATCCAGCAATCCTTGTCTTTTGCTATATGGTGTATTCTGCAAGCTCGGGGGGGGGGGGGCGTGAAAAGCTATTAAAGCTGAACAAGACAAACTCTCAAAACACTTTTAATTTTATGGATAATATGGGAACATAACAGATGTTTGGAGATTCAAATGCAGAAATGCCACAGACTGTACCTGATTCTGAAATCAGCTAGCTGCTTTAGGAGTTCTGTGGCTCCATCACCGGGCATGCTGTTCTACCTTGACAGTCGAAAGAAACATAGATCAGGTTTGAAGGCAATAGGTTTGATTTACTTTCAGGCCTGAAAGGATGTCTGATACAGAGTCTGTGCTCGCAAGGAATTGGACATAATCATGCAGTACAGAGCACGACATTTTATTCCCTTTGACAGTTATTCAAAAGAGCCACTCCCTCCTCTGATTGGCGCAGGAGTGTGCAAGTCAGGATCCAACCTTCTATTGGTTGGGTTTTCCCATTGACATTAGAAATGGATGGAGCTTTCCCCATGGTGGAAAGAATAGAAAATTTCCAGTTGTCCTGTTGAAGTTGGAGCCATTCAGAGTACTGCCCTTACTTAAACGATCCTTCATAGCTCGAGGATGATGGTCTTCCAGTGTGATGTCTTGGTGGTGGGTCCGTAGGTGGCTGTGGAGCCCTATTCTTGATGCACATGTTCTCTCACAGTGAGGACATTGGTTTCCAGATAGAAGGCGGTCCCAGTCAAGGTTTACTTGATGCACCTTCTTCTTGGCACATTTCTCCCTTTTGCTCTCCATTTGTGCCTCTTCGAATTTCCCAGCACTGCTGGTCACAGCTGACCTCCAGTTAGAGCACTCAAGGGCCAGGGCTTCCCAGTTCTCGGTGTCTATGCCACAGTTTTTGAAGTTGGCTTTAAGCCCATCTTTAAATCTTTTTTCCTGTCCACCAACATTTTGTTTCCCATTCTTGAGTTCAGAGTAGAGTAGCTGCTTTGGAAGACGGTGATTGGGCTTCAGATAATGTGGCCAGTCCAGCAGAGTTGATGGCGGAGGAGCATCGCTTCAGTGCTGGTGGTCTTTGCTTGTTCCAGCATGCTGACATTTGTCTGCGTGTCTTCCCCAAACTTGAGCTTAATCATATGGTTTAAGGTGATGCAAAGAGTCTGTGATGAGACTATATGAGATCACAAAAGAAGCCAGTCTTTGATCACTGGGATGACTTGATAACAGAATAGAAAGCATATAGAACAATACAAATCCCATTGAGGCTTGGTTTACATTTTATATTTCTTAAACACCAGGCTATTGTCCCGGAACCTGATCTTAATTGCATCTTTAAAGAGGATATTTTCCTGTTTCCCTGAGGGGATTCCCTCCCAGCTTCCAGACCAGTTTCCCAGATGTACAAACCCCAACAGTTTCTCAAGAAAATACACTACATAATGTTAAGTTCTTTTGGGTTCCCTGGAGCATGTCTGTGGCTGCCCTCGAATAGCACATCCCAATCCCTATTGCATAAATATATGAACCCCACCCCACCCCCAATTCACGTATCATCAATAAAACACATCCATGAATCCAGACATAGTGTTGCACTCTAGCCTTGAGGTCACGCTTTTTCGCCCAGCACCACACCAGAGTCCAGTAGTATCTAAGTACAGCAATTTATTTAGAAAAGCATATACAAAAGGGGGGAAAGGCAATTCCCAAAAAGCTGAAGAGGAGGTGCTATAAGATAGCAATAGTCCCTATGTACAAAGTTCAATAGTCCATAAAGGCGAGGTACATGGAATCCAGCAAATCAAGATCATAGGCATAAATCCATAAGCATGAAAACAGTAGCTTTTCCAAGGCGAACGTAGGTAAACACAGGAACAAAGGCAAACGCAGGAGATGAGATTCATGAGCATGAGAGCTGATCCAGGAACTTGATTCTATGTCTGCTC